GGTTTTGTAATCTGTCTTTTATATGTGTATTGTACACCGCCATGAGTCGCCTGTATAGGCTGAGAATGGCGGTCAATAAATGAATCAAATAAATAAATAAATAAATAAATAAACTCTAAGATCCTCCGGGGAGGTCCTCTCGTTCCCACCGCCATCACAAGCACGGTTGGTGGGGACGAGAGAGAGGGCCTTCTCGGTGGTGGCCCCGTGCCTCTGGAATGGCCTTCCAAAGGAAATAAGACAGGCCCCATCCCTCCCCTCTTTTCGTAAGAGTTTGAAGACTTGGTGGTTTCAACAAATCTTCGAGAGTGACCAGTGTTAGCTCAGCCCAGACACTGTCCGGACACGACCTGTTAGTGTTATTTTTATTTGATCATGTTGTGACTCTGTATGTTTTAATGTTGTTTGGAAACCACCCTGAGTCCCCCCGGGGATAGAGCGATATATAAAAAAAGTTATTATTATTATTATTATTATTATTATTATCAAAGTCTACTTCATTTTGTCTCTTGAGTGCATGACATAAAACAAGTTATTTTATGGGAGAGTATATATATATAGGTAGGGGGCCCTGGTGGCCCAGCAGGTTAAACCGCTGAGCTGCTGAACTTGTTGACCAAAAGGTCGCAGGTTCGAATCCGGGGAGTGGCATGAGTTCCCGCTGTCAGCCCTAGCTTCTGCCAACCTAGCAGTTTGAAAACATGCAAATGTGAGTAGATCAATAGGTACCGCTCTGGTGGGAAGGTAACGGTGTGCCATGAAGTCATGCTGGGCACATGACCTTGGAGGTGTCTACGGACAACGGGCAGCTCTTTGGCTTAGAAATGGAGATGAGCACCAATCCCCAGACTTTAGATACGACTGGACTTAATGTCAGGGGTAAACATTTATCTTTACTTATATGTATGTATGTATGTGTATATATATATATATATATATGTTGGGCCCCTTGGTGGTGCAGCAGGTTGAACCGCTGAGCTGCTGAACTTGTTGACCGAAAGGCTGGCGGTTCAAATACGGGGAGCGATGCGAGCTCCCACTATTACTTCCAGCTTCTGCCAACCTAGCAGTTTGAAAACATGCAAATGTGAGTAGATCAATAGGTAGCCCCTTGGCGAGAGGTAACAGCACTCTATGCGGTCATGCCGGCCACATGCCCTTGGAGGCATTTACGGACAATGTCGGCTCTTCGGCTTAGAAATGGAGATGAGCACCACCCCCCAGAGTCAGACATAATGTCAAGGGGAAACCTTTACCTTTACTTATATACTTTTGAGCAACTGAAAAACACTTCTGAAGTTCTTCTGTTTTAATGCACTGGCAAAATCTCTGTTTTCCTAACAGATCAAAGATAACAGGTTATTCAGTCTAACAACTGAAACTATTGCCTTGCATAATTATATCTGGTTATACACCACAAGAGAAGATTCTACTCTCAAGGGTTTTTGCTCTTTTCTGAAAGGTAATGCTTTTCTAAATAAATACGGTGCCCAAAATGGTGTTTTTCCAAGAGATTATGAATGCCATTTTCCAAAACAGGATGAGCTTTGGGAACACTTCCTGTAGTGGCATCTTGATCCTTGGCTTGCATCTCTTCTGCAGATGTTCTGCAATCACTTAAGCCAGCATTTCTCTTGGGGGGGGGGGGTTCAGAGACGTCGCCAAAGACCATCAGAAAACACATATTTCTGATGGTCTTAGGCACCCCTTTGGCAGAGAAGGCTGAAGATTTCTCCACCTGTTCAGAATGCTCTTTGGTTGTAGGTAAACTATAAATCCCAGCAGCTACAACTCCCAAATGTCAAGGTCTATTTTCCCCCAAACTCCACCAGTGTTCACATTTGGACATATTGAGTATTTGTGCCAAGTTTGCTCCAGATCCATCATTGTTTGAGTCCACAGTGCTCTCTGGATATAGGTGAACTACAACTCCAAAACTCAAGGTCAATGTCCACCAAACACTATTTTCTGTTGGTCATAGGAGTTATGTGTGCCAAGATCAGTTCAATTCCATCGTTAGTGGAGTTCAGAATGCTCTTTGACTGTAGGTGAACTATAAATCCCAGCAATGACAACTTCCAAATTTCAAAATCAATCCCTGCCCCAACCGCAACAGTAGTCAAATTTGGGTGTATCAGGTATTTGTGCCAAATTTGGTCCAGTGAATGAAAATACATCCTGCAAATCAGATATTTACATTACGATTCATAACAGTAGCAACATTACCGTTATGAAGTAGCAACGAAAATAATTTTATGGTTGGGGGTCACCACATTATGAGGAACTGTATTAAGGGGTCACAGCATTAGGACAGAAGCAGAATTCAAAATTATGTTCACAGATTAGAGAGCTGGGCCAAAACTAATAAAATGAAGTTCAACAAGGACAAATGAAAGATACTCCACTTAGGCAGAAAAAATTAAATTCAGAGATACAGAATGGGGGACACCTGGCTCGAGAGCAGTACGTGTGAAAAAAAATCTTGGAATCCTTGTTGACAACAAGTTAAACATGAGCCAGTAATGTGATGCAGCGGCTAACAAAGCCAATGGGATTTTGGCCTGCGTAAATAGGAGTGTAATGTCTAGATCCAGGGAACTGTGGTTCAGCTTTCACTGCCAGGGCAGCAGGATATGGACTCTGGGGATTTGTAGTTTAAGGGGGAACATTTGGAATTCTCAGCCTCACTAAACTACAAACCCCAACATTCCATGACATATTTCCATGTCAACTGGAGTAGAATAAAACTGCTGCATGATAGATCTTGAAAGTGGCAAGATGTGGTGTTGAATTTTTATTTTATATTCCTGGATAATAACAATGATGATGATGATGTATTTAAGCACAGCTCACTATGAGTTTTCCGGGCTGTATGGTCATGTTCCAGAAGCATTCTCTCCTGGTGTTTTGCCCACATCTATGGCAGACATCCTCAGATATTGTGAGGTCTGTTCGAAACTAGGCAAGTGAGGTTTATATGTCGTTGGAATGTCCATGGTGGGAGAAATAACTCTTGTCTGCTTGAGGCAAGGGTGAATGTTGCAATTTACCATCTTGATTAGCATTGAATGCCCTTGTAGTTTCAAAGCATGGCTGATTGCTGTCTGGAGGAATCCTTCATTGGGAGGTGTTAGCTGGCCCTGATTGATTCTTGTCTAGAATTCCCACTGGTTTTTTTTAATGTTGCTCTTATTTTGGTACTTTGTTTTGAATAGATATGAGGCATGGCAGAAACGTAATGAGACTGATTTTCTTTAAACCACCTTGATTTGCATTTAATGGCCGGAAGTTTCAAGGCCTCGCTGGTTGCTGCCTGGGGAAATCCTTTGTTGGCCTATTTGTGTCCAAAACTCAGATGATCTCCCACCAATCTGCTTCTCTGAATGAGCAGCTTCTTTTTTGTCTCTCCGAAAACTTGATTAGCATTTAATGGCCTGCAGTTTCAAAGTCTGTCTGGTTGCTGCCTGGAGGAATCCTTTGTTGGCCTATTTGTGCCCAAAATCCAGATGATCTCCCACCAAACTGCTTCTCCGAATGAGCAGCTTCTTTTTTGTCTCTCAGGAAACTTTATTAGCACTTAATGGCATGCAGTTTCAAAACCTGGCTAGTTTCTGCCTAGGGGAATCCTTTGTTGTTTGATTTGTGTCCAAAATCCAGATGATCTCCCACCAATCTGCTTCTCCGAATGAGCAGCTTCTTTTTCTCTCTCTCAGGAAACTTTATTAGCACTTAATGGCCTGCAGTTTCAAAACCTATCTGGTTTCTGCCTGGGGGAATCCTTTGTTGGCATATTTGTGTCCTAAACTCAGTTGATCTCCCACCAATCTGCTTCTCCGAATGAGCAGCTTCTTTTTTGTCTCTCTGGAAACTTTTCTTCCCCCCAAAGTTCCCCTCCTACTTTGGGAGGGAGGAAGCGGAGGAGGGATCTCTGCCGCGTGTCAGTCTTGGCTTGCCCTCTCCGTGCGGACGCCGAGAGAGAGAGAGGCAGGGATGGGTCTGCCGGTGCTGCTCTTCCTCTGCTCCTGCTTCTCCTCCTTCTTCCTCCCGATCCGGGCGCAGTACGAGCGCTACAGCTTCCGCAGCTTCCCCCGGGACGAGCTGATGCCCCTGGAGTCCGCCTACCGCTACGGCCTGGACCAGTACACCGGCGAGCACTGGGCCGAGAGCGTCAGCTACTTGGAGGTCAGCCTCAGGCTCCACCGCCTCCTGCGCGACAGCGAGGCCTTCTGCCACCTCAACTGCAGCTCCGCCCGCATGGACCTGGGAGAAGAAAGAGAAGGAGAGGGAGAGGAGGGAATGGGCGGCGGCGGGGATCGAACCCGCGATGGCGTCCTCTCCCCGCGCCGCTTCCAGGGCTTCCCCGAGCTGCGCTACTACGGCGACCTGCTCCGGCGCGCGCAGTGCCTCAAGCGCTGCAAGCAGGGCCTGCCCGCCTTCCGCCAGTCGCAGCCCAGCCGGGAGGTGCTGCAGGAGTTCCACAACCGCGAGCCCTACAAGTTCCTCCAGTTCGCCTACTTCAAGGTAGCGCCCTCCTCGCAGCCCACCCTTAGGGGGAAGGCACTCCTGGGCTGCAGGTTACTTAGGCTAGCCCTCCTACCCCCGGGATGATGGGCCTTCAAGTCTGGTGTCTTGGTTTTGGATGTATAGGTGGCTGTGGAGCCCTGTTCTGGATCCGCATGTTCTCCCGCAGTGAGGACATAGGTTTCCAGTTGGAAGGCAGCCCTGCGCCTTCCTCTTGGCAGGGTTCTCCCTTCAGCCCTCCATTTGTGCCTCTTCAAATTCTACAGCACTGCTAGACACAGCTGACTTCCAGTTAGAGCACTCAAGGGCTAGGAATTCCTAGTTCTTGGTATCTTTGCCACAGTTTTTAAGGTTGGCTTTAATAATAATAAGGAGCCCCTGGTGACGTCAAGTCTGGTGTCTTGGTTTTGGATATATAGGTGGCTGTGGAGCCCTGTTCTTGATCCGCATGTTCTCCCGCAGTGAGGATATAGGTTTCCAGTTGGAAGGCAGCCCTGCGCCTTCCTCTTGGCAGGGTTCTCCCTTCAGCCCTCCATTTGTGCCTCTTCAAATTCTACAGCACTGCTAGACACAGCTGACTTCCAGTTAGAGCACTCAAGGGCCAGGAATTCCTAGCTCTTGGTATCTTTGCCAAGGCTGGCTTTAATAATAATAAGGAGCCCCTGGTGACGCAGTGGGTTAAAACGCTGAGCTGCTGAACTTGTTGACCGAAAGGTCACAGGTTCGATTCCGGGGAGCGGCGTGAGCTTCTGCTGTCAGCTCTAGCTTCTGCCAACCTAGCAGTTCGAAAACATGCAAATGTGAGTAGATCAATAGGTACCGCTCCGACGGGAAGATAACGGTGCTCCGTGCAGTCATGCTGGCCACATGACCTTGGAGGTGTCTATGGACAACGCCGGCTCTTCGGCTTAGAAATGGAGACAAGTCCAGACATGGCTGGACTTAATGTCAGGGGACAACCTTTACCTACCTTAATAATAATTCAATTCAATTCAATTCAAAATAGTTTATTGTACGGGCCCAAGAGGCCATGACAAAAAGCACCACATGCACACAATAGTACCCTCAGAGTACAGGCACCAAAGATGCTAAACAGAACCATAATTTGCTCCCACAACAAAAACAATGAAAGTTAATAATAGTTAAAATACATTTTAGGAGAGGATCCAGTTAACCCTTAGAATCTCCTTGGCAGTTGATAGCAATTTTACCTAACTCTGTCTTTCTGATCTTTTTTGCAGAGCTAATAATTATTATTATTGATACCCCGCCACCATCTCCCCAAAGGAGACTCTGGGCGGCTAACATGAGACCAAGCCCAAAATTACAATACAGCAAAATAAAATACAAACAAGCAAATAATATCAAAATAAAATACACAAAATTACAGAATATAAAATAAACAAATGCAAAATAACATGGTAGAGAAATAAAATACAGGAGTCCCAGCCCCTAGGGAGGGCACCCATTGGAAAAATAACTGGGTTGCTGTGAGTTTTCTGGGCTGTATGGCCATGTTCCAGAAGCATTCTCTCCTGATGTTTTGCCCACATCTATGGCAGGCATCCTCAGAGGTTGTGACGTCTGTTGGTAACTAGGCAAGTGGGTTTTACATATTTGTGGAATGTCCAAGGTAGGAGAAAGAACTCTTCTCTGCTGGAGGCATGTGTGACTGTTGCAATTGGCCACCTTGATTAGCATTGAATGGCTTTGCATCTTCAAAGCCTGGCTACTTCCTACCTGGGGGAATCCTTTGTTGGGGGTGATAGCTGGCCCTGGATGGGTGAAACGTCAGGAGAGAATGTTTCTGGAGCATGGCCATACAGCCCAGAAAACTCACAGAAATCCAGTGATTCTGGCCATGAAAACCTTTGGAAAAATAAGTGTTTTTTAATAGCATCATAACTTTGGAATGAACCACAAGGGCCATCCAGGCCAATCCCCTGTGATACACACAATCCAAGCACTCCCAACAGATGCCCACCCAGCTTGAAACCTCTAAAGGAGGAGACGCCAGCATGCTCTGAGAGGGCCCTTCCAGACAGGCCCTATATTCCAGGATCTGATCCCAGGTCTTCTGCTTTTAATTGGATTATATGAGTCCTCACTGCCAGATAATCTGGGATAAACAGAAAACATAGTATCAGATCCTGGGATATAGAGCCTATCTGGAAAGGCCCTGGCGCAGTACTGTTAGAAACCTCGTACTCATAGAATCCCAGAGTTGGAAGAGACCCCAAGGGCCATCCAGTCCAACCCCCTTGCCAAGCAGGGATACACAATTAAATCACTCCCGACAGATGGCCATTCAGCTTAAAAACATCCAGAGGAGGAGACGCCAGCATGCTCTGAGGCAGCACTGCTGGGCAGCCCTTACTCATAGAATCCCAGAGTTGGAATAGACCATAAACCCTTTGCCAAGCAGGGATGCACAATTAAAGTTATTTAAAACGTTGTTTGTATTTTTAAATGCATTATAACTGCTCTCAATTTGCTTCTGACATGATAAATAAATACTTGTATATACTTCCAGGATGGTAAATCTTGAGTTTTGAGCTGTTGCTGAACTATTTCCCCCATCACTGGCCAGTTTGATTAGTACTGATGGGATATAGAATTGAATAAAAAAATACAGAGAGCCATAGGTTCTCTTGTTCTAGAACTGCCCACTCTTGAACCAGTCTAGGTTTTCTGAGCATCCATATCTCACACTGTCTCCTTTACTCCTTTCTTGCCCTCACTCAGATCCTTAACGTGGCAAAATGTTTGTTTTACTAAGACTAACCATAAATGTATGTGTGTGTCTGTATTTGGCAATGTTGTTCTTGACTAAAAGAACCAGTGTGGTTTAGTAGTCCCTGAATAGACTCAGAAGCAGAGTGGGCAAATCCAAAGACAAAATGGCACTACCTAAAAGAATCCCCACACCTTGTGTGACTGTGCCCATGTACAGAGGAGTAATTGTTGGAAGCTACAGACAATGCCGTTGCTGTTGCCCGTTTTCGGTCAAAAGATATTTAGATATTTGTCCATCTATGTGTATTTCTGGGGGAAAATGTTTAAAACATAAGTAATATTTTCAAATGTGGGTTTTTTAACTTTTTCTCCAATCCTTTCGACTAGGCGAATAACCTTCCTAAAGCCATTGCAGCAGCCCACACGTATCTTCTGAAGCATCCCGATGACGAGATGATGAAAAGGAATATGGCATACTACAAAACCATGCCTGATGCTGAAGACTATATTAAGGATTTAGAAGCAAAATCGTATGAGGTATCTGTCTCATCTTGTTTACATTTCTTATCTGATTTATCATATTCTTGGGGGGGAACAAACACTCTTTCTGCTCTGTTACTTTTTCCCCTAATTCACTTCATGTGTTGCACTCCAGGACAGGAAAAGCCCTCTGACTGTAAACACCACACCGTTGATTGGAAAACAATCCTTTTATTGAAGATAATTAAAAAGCAGCAAGTAAAAAGCACTTTAAAGAAATAGGTAAATCCAATTAGGTAAGAAGATAAGCAGGAGCAAAATAGTCCAGGGTAAAGTTCAGCAAAGTCCATAAAAACAAAGTCCACACTTCTCTAATATAATTCAGGAAAACAGGAAACATTAATCCAAGGCATGAGTACGCATTCATACATTCCATGAAAAAGAAATACTTAGACAAGAATCTTCCAAGCAAACCTTCCATGAAAGAAAGGACGAGAACTATACTTGAATCTAACAATGCTTCATCTGACTATATTTCCCATACTTGGAACTTTTATCCCCTCGTTAAGCTATACGACGCACTCAGGAATTGGTTTCGTTTTACTTGAGAACCCCCTATCTTTTTCTGTCGAAGCCTGGCAGAACGCCGAAGGCACTGTTCGGCCTATCTGTTTTGACTAATTTCCTCTCGCCTATCTATTTGCTCATTAAGTCTCGCAGCTGGGCCAGGTGCCCAGTTGTTTTCAAGCCCCAAATCCTGGGAACCCTCTGGTAGCAATTCATGGAATACACTATCATCCCCACACCCTTCAGGGACATTCTCATGAGAAACTACACTTTGCATAGGGGTCTCCTGGTCCTTCTCTGCATCAGTATCATTGACCAAACCATTGCCTTAGTGAAATTCATTGGCATCACTTCCCACATCCAAAGCACCCTGATCCTGAAATACAATCACAGACTGAACTCCAACATCATGACGCACTTAATGAGCGTAATGAGTCATATTCACCCAGAACCCGATGCTACCATTACCATAGTGTCTGATCACGAGTCTAGTGCCCAATCTGGTCAGGTTTCCTGAGATCTGTTTCAGTCCTTGTGATCTGATTAGATGGACGAAATGCTTAGTCCATCCCACTACATGGAATCTTAACTCTTTCCCATCTTGTCTGATAAAATCTAGCAGAGGTGGGTTGCTTGAGTGGATCCAGTGGGCAATAAATACCTCATTTTGTCAGAACCGTATGCTCCCTCAAAAGAAGCTGCCATAGTTCACCATCTCCTGAAGAGGAACTCCATGTGCCTGAGTCAATGGTGGAGAAATTATTTCAGTCTGAGGGCTGATTTAAATTTTGGAGAAATTCTTAGGGGTTGGATTTCACTGGTGGGCAGAAACCCAAAATCCCAGGATATTTTAGTGTAACAATTGCTAGTGTGGCATAGTGATGTGAGCATTGGACTAGACTCTTGAGAACAGGGTCTGAATTCCCTTTCAGCCATGAACGGCAGCAATCTTGGGCAAGTCCTGTTGGGCGAGTGGGCTTATGAATGTACAACAAAGTAACTTATCTACAGCAGTGTGATCCAGCACCAGTAGCCCAAAGTGATAAAAAGAACAAAAACACAGAGACCAATGCTATCTCTTCTATAGGAGGCTTTTCTTTATAGCAAAATAATGTGGTTGCACTATTTACAAGCTGATAGAGGGAGCTCATCCACCTCTCCCCGGATTCGAACCTCTATCAGCTCCAGCTCCTCATGCGGGGACATGAGAGAAGCCTCCCACAAGGATGATAAAAACATCAAATCATCCAGGCGTCCCCTGGGCAACCAGAGGTGACTTGCAATCACTCCTGACACGACAAAAAAAAAAAAAAACTATTTACAAGATCAAGGTTTTTTAACACAAATACAGTTCTTTATACTTCCTTCTGTGCTTCCACACTGGGCTTCTTTCTCATGCAGATAAACAGCTTTGCTCTCACTGAGCTTCCTCTCACACCAAACTTACATAGGAACCTCACACAAGACCTTTTCATACGCAGCAGCCTTCACACTGGAGCTTTACACTCAAGGCCTTCAACCTGAGGCTTCTCTCACAGAAGCTTCTTGCAGCAGGCCTTCTCATACTGAGGCCTACTAACACTGAGGCCTTTCTCCCACTGAGGCCCTGTCACACATCACACTGAGGGCTTTCTCAGAACTGATGTCTCTCATATGTCATGTATCATGTTTATTTATTTATTTATTTACTATACTTGTATACTGCCTTTCTCAGCCTTATCGGCGACTCAAGGCGGTTTGTTCTGCAGTTGATGGTGGTTGGTGGTGGTGTATTGTCTTATTGTTTACTGTTATTGCTTAACATTTTGATTTGCATGAAATGTTATGTGTATTGTTATGCTGTTGTTTTTATTGAGACCTTGGCCTTTGTAAGCCGCATCGAGTCCTGCGGGAGATGTTAGCGGGGTACAAATAAAGATAATAATAATAATAATAATAATAATAATAATAATAATAGGTCTAGCACCTTATTCAGGTAGAGATGAACCAAACACCCAGTTTGTATCAAACAGTTTAATTAAAGCAGCATTTACTTTCTGGCTGTTTTAATAGTCCAAAATATAAAACATAAAGATAGCACTCAGCCACAGAATAAACAAAAACTGATAGCAAAAGCTACACTGTAGTCAAAGGGTAAAGTCGAGTGGTCAAATGCCGAGAGTTCAATGAGCAAGTCCAGGGATCAAGATTCTATACCGTAGTCAGAAGCCGGTCTAGAGATTCAAGGTTCCAAGAGTACAGGAGACAGGTCAAGATACCCAAATTCCACAAACCTGAGGGAAAACCAGCAGCATCTACCACCAAAATAAGACAAATARTTTTCTCCCAAAGATCAGCCCCAAAGCTAGCTCATTATATTCAGAAACACCCAGCTGCAACCTATCTCTTGCATACCTCTACCCTTAATTGCTTTCACCCATGAACTCTTACAGATTACTCAACCCTTTAGAACTAAGACTTACATTAACTCTTCCATCACCAACTGTTAGGCCTACCACTACAAACCACCATCAGCTGCAGAACATGATACATGACATCATACACTGAGGCYAACTAACACTGAGGCCTTCTCATACTGAGGRCTACTAACACACTGAGGCCCTTCTACGTCAAATACCTCTCACAGACTGAGGGCTACTAAGCTACAGGCACACCCGATTATATTTCTGAGTCTTTGCATCAATTTAACCCTTTCAGTGCTTGACTCACATTTTTGTAATTAAAACTACCTAGTTAATTTTTAATTTTTAACAAGTCCCAAACTTGTTGCCTCAGAAAACCCCATGATAGAGTTACCATAAGCACACCACAACAAGCCACTTAGGAGAGATGTTTCATTATTTATATTTGGAAGGTGGTGTAGCTCTCTGGGGAACAGCCAGCAACTGAATTTGGCACACCAAGAACACAAGATTAAGCCCTCGGGCCTGAGATGCCCAACCCTGATCAAGAACTTGTTCATGTCTAATGACACTTAGCAATGTGGTGGTTGAAAGCAAGTCCTTCAGCACCCTGTTGTTAGAAGACACATGAGTCTTATAATGTCATTCAACTCATATGACTTATGGTGATCTCTTCTTGTCCCTTCAGACACTCTTTGTCAGGGCAGTAAGAGCGTACAATGGAGAGAATTGGAAGACTTCCATCACAGATATGGAACTGGCGCTCCCAGATTTCTACAAAGCCTATTACGATTGCATAGCTGCCTGTGAAGGCCCCCGAGAGATCAAGGACTTTAAAGAGTTTTACCTCTCCATAGCAGGTGAGTGATCAGCTTTATTCTAAAGATGGAAAGGAGTTTTCTTTTCAAAGATTACTTTTGATCTCCTAAAACTATCTAATTGATATGTGCTATTTAGAGATTTGTTTTCGACTAACACTTGTAAATGGGAAAGATGCAGAATTACACAGTAGAAATATAACCTGGAAATAGAAGAGAGCTCACAACATATATGACAGTATCAAATATATCTGCTGCTTATTTAGGTGAATAGATGGATAACCTGTTGGTATTTCCCACTAAAACTGAAATTATATGTGTTGTTGAAGGCTTTCATGGCCAGAATCACTTGTTTGCTGCGAGTTTTCTGGCTGTATGGCCATGTTCCAGAAGCATTCTCTCCTGATGTTTCACCCACATCTATGGCATCTCTGAGGATGCCTGCCATAGATGCGGGTGAAACATCAGGAGAAAATGCTTCTGGAACATGGCCATACAGCCCGAAAAACTTACAGTAACACAGTTAAAATCAAGGTTTACTTGAATCCATAAATTCAGAGGTTTGAATTCTCAGTACCTGTAGGTGGCACTACAAACAAGTGTAATTTTGTTGAGAATATTACACAGTCATTGCACATGCAGTATTTTACCTTGAAAGTTTTCTCCATTCAGATACTGAACAAGCAAGAATGTGTAGCTTGTTAGACTGCAAGTCCCACTATTTTCTTCACTATTGGCTACACTGGTGGGAATTAAAGTCCAGCAATGTTTGAGGGCCATAGATTAGTCACTGATTGCAGTTTAAAGCAGGTATGGCAAACTTCGGCCCTCCAGGTGTTTTGGTCTTCAACTCCCATAATTGTGAAAGTTGAAGTCCGAAATACCTGGAGGACTTAAGTTTTTTGTATGCCTGGTTTAGAGCCACAAGTATGAACCCTTTTGAAATTTAGGGTCATGGTTTATACAAGTGTCACACATTGAACCGAATTTAAGACGTAGTGGCATAATACTGAAAATGTTTTGTTGTTGTTGTTTTTAAAGATCATTACACTGAAGTTCTTGAGTGCAAACTGAAGTGTGAAATCGACCTGACACCCATCATAGGAGGCTATGTTGTGGAGAAATTTGTGGCCACAATGTACCACTACTTGCAGTTTGCCTATTATAAGTGTAAGTAATAAGCTTTATTCTAAAATGTCCTGTCTGTACTATTTATTTTTACTTATTTATCACTAGCTGTCCCTGGCCATGTGTTGCAGTGGGCCAGTCTGTGTATATGTGCTTTGTGTGTGTGTATATTTGTGTATATGTGTATATATGTGTCTTTTATATATGTGATATGGCGCATGTGTTGTTATGGTTTTTTTTTTTTTGCTTTTAAGTCTCTTCTGCTGTGTTTTTCAGTGTTTTTATGAGTGATGGTCACTCATTGGCCTGATAAGTGTATTGTGTCCAAATTTGGTGTCAATTCGTCCAGTGGTTTTTGAGTTAAGTTAATCCCACAAACGAACATTACATTTTTATTTATATAGATGTCAGAAGCAAACCAAGGATAGAGTTGTAATGTATTTAAAAACATAAACAAAATTTTAAAATTTGGCATTAGACTAAATGTTCTTTGAGCAGAAGCTGGTCACTTTGAGTACCTCTGGTGTTGCTGTAAGAAAGTCCTGCACTGTGCATGTGGCAGGGCTCAGACTGCATTGCAATAGGTGATCTGTGGTTTTTCTCTTCTCCACACTCACGTTTTGTGGACTCCACTTTGTGGCCCCATTTCGTAAGGTTAGCTATGCATCTCGTGGTGCCAGAGCGCAGTTTGTTCAGCGCCTTCCAAGTCGCCCAGTTTTCTGTGTGCCCAGGAGGGAGTCCCTCATTTGGTATCAGCCATGGCTTGAGGTTCTGGGTTTTAACCTGCCACTTTTGGACTCTTGCTTGCTGAGGTGTTCCTGCAAGTATCTCTATAGAGTTGCATGCTGCAAGTCACTTCTGGTTGTCTATAAAGACGTTGCCCAGGGGACACCCAGATGTGTTACGATCCTGCAGGGAGGCTTCTCTCATGTCCCCCGTCTGTACTATCATTTACTATAATTTTCTCTTGATTTTGCAAACACCAAACAAATAAATCACTGCCATGCATGAACACGTCCATTTTATTCTTTGGCTGGATGCAGAAAATATTAACAGTCACACAAACAATAGTAAGCAGTAGTTTAATTGAATTGTTTATTGTACTAGCCATAGGCCATGACATAATATATCACCTTTAAAACTACAATAAGCCCTTTCCAATATAAATATTAAAACATGTCCCATATACTGTGTCAAGACCCAGGCGAACCAACGAGGCGAAACAGCAGCTTAAGGGTTAACAAAAGGTGTTTAATGGCAAATTAACAAGTCAAATGACTCTTATTAGCAGAGCGTGTAAACAAAAGAGCCTGCTGCTTGCAGGAATGTAAACAAGGCAGCAACCCAGGCAGTCTGGGCAGAAAAAAGGAAACTGAAGTAAAACAGACAAACAGTTCATGGTTAGAATGGAATACAGGCAGTTCAAAAATCACAAAGCAAAAAGCAGTATGAGGAACGGTCCGAAGTCAACGCAGGAGACAGGCAGAATCGCAGAATAGTCAAGACGGTCCAAGGTCAGGGCAGGAGACAAGACTCACAGTTCCAAGGCAGGCAAAGTAGTCAGCACGGTCACGGAAACACAATTCTGGATGCAAGGACTCAAGGCAAGAGTTAACAGCAGAATACACAGGTACACAACACTTTGAACTCTGCAACATGATGGACCCAAGGCTACTCCTTAAATCCCATCAGAATCACTAGATTTGCTTCCAGGTGCATCCAGTTCCACAGGTGAACTGCGTTCCCTCCATTGCTGCCAATCTGCACTCCGGGCTGCATCCTGAGAAGCAGTATCCGAAACTCATGAGTCTGTGAACCCTTGGAACTCCCCACTGGAGGTTGGAGCATTAATCACATCCTGAACCTCCTGGACCCTAGTCCAGTCCAGCTCTTCATCATTACTTTCAGACCCGTAGCTATCTGCTATGTCTTTAAGACGCTTGGAAATGGATTCCTCATCGCTATCTGAACTGCGTGCTACTCGCTTTACACCACGGTAATCCTCCATCTCCATCTCCTCATGAGTAAACCCCTGACACTCTTCCCCATCACTAGATTCTAGGAACATGTCCCTAATGCGCTTCAGCTGCTGCTGAGCGTCTTCCTCTTCCAAGCCTCGTTTCCTCCTACTAGCACTAGTAGATACATGAGGCACACGCTGAGTTACAACATACTGGTTCTTTAAAATTATAGTAGTAGTGACATGATAACAATGACAAATGTCTGATTTGTATCATCCCAAAATCTCTTCTATTTCCATTTTAACAGTCACACAAACAACAGTAAGCAGTAGTTACCAAGAAGGACCACCAGCTAAATCTTGTGTTGAAGTAGTATCAACACAATTGCATAAAAATTGGAAAGATGCAGAGAGATATAAGAAAGAAAGTGAGGTTCATATGTGGAATTTATTGTGAATGTCACCCTGATTTTTCAAAAAATAAAAAAGACTTGTGCCTACTAAGGACTGTGAGAAAGATAATAGTTATTAGAATGCTTATCTTAGGGAGCACGAAGGGAATATGTGGCCCTATAAGTCTGGTGGAATATGCACACAGGCTCCAGACATGGAAAGGCTGTCCATCCCTGTCAAGGCTAAAACTTATAAATGTGTATGAGGGGCCTGCATGAATAGGTGCCTTGCATGCCATGCATTCCAAGCGTGGTCTACAATTTCAAATTCTGGAGTTCAGGTTCTCTGCTTTTATAACCTCCTCCAGAGATTGTAATATCATTTTATTTAATGTCAATCCAGTGAATGATTTGAAGAATGCAGCACCATGCGTTGCCAGCTATATGCTCTTCGACCAGAAAGATGAAGTGATGAAACAAAATCTAGTCTATTATCAATATCACAAAGACAAGTGGGGACTCACAGATGAAGACTTCCAGCCACGGCCTGTAAGTGAAATGTATATCATCTGTATATCGTGATATATCGTGTTTGTAGCACTAAGTTGCACATTCGGACCCAAGAGCCCTGTTTCGCTGCTTATTATATACACAAGGGTTAAATGTGGGCAGGATCATAGAATCATAGAGTTGGAAGAGACCTTGTGGGCCAGCCAATCCAACACCCTGCCAAGAATTTATTTATTTATTTATTTACTATACTTATATACTACCCCTCTCAGCCCAGAGGCGGTTCAAGGCGGTTTACATTTGGCATTCAATGCCGTACAAGATAAAATACAGTCAAAAACAATTACATATAATATAAACAGTATAAAAACAATAAACAATTAACTGTTAAAACCATAAAAGAAGCAGGAAAATCACATTCAAAGCACTCCCGACAGAGGGCCATCCAGCCTCTGTTTAAAAGCCTCCAAAGAAGGAGCCTCTACCACACTCCAGGGCAGAGAGTTCCACTGCTGAACAGCTCTCACAGTTAGAAAAGAAGCAGACATTCCTGAACAGTGCTCTTCGGCATGAAGGTTAGAAGAAGGCTTCAAAGCACTGTCAGCCCAATGTGCATAGATTCCTCCTTCCATTCAGGATTTATCTGTTATCAGCTAATCTATACAAACCCAGTTGGAAATTCCCTTGATACATTTGGGCTGAATCTGCAAACAAATGAAGCAAAGCTCATTTGCATGGGAAAGATGGGTTGAGGTCAGCTCTTTCTGAGGCTTACGTGCATATACTTGGCTCGCCTATTTAGCCCAATGTTCAAAACCCTGAAACAAAAAAAGTATTTGCTGGCTAATGTAATGCATAGCAGCAATAAGTGCACTCTCTGTTATGTGTTCCAAAAAGGTGTACATTACGGTTGCTGTGCCTACCTCACGGACTAAGGCCTACCTCACACTGAGAACCTTATCACAGACTGAGACCTTTCTCCCACTGAGGCAAACTAACACAGAGGCCTTTTCTCCCACTGAGATGTTCTCTCACACAGAGAGGCTTCACTCACACTGATAGCTCTCTCAGACTGAGATGTTAATAAGCAACAGGCATGCCTGCTTACATTGAACTGCAGCCTTGCTGAGTCATTGTATCCATTTAATAATAATAATAACAATAATAATAATAATTTTATTTTCGTGTTGCTGTTTTTCAAGGAAGCAGTTCGGTACTACAACGTAACAACACTCCAGAAAGAAATGTATGAATTTTCCAAAGAGCATGTGATGGATGATGACGAAGTAAGTAAAACAGACAGATGTCATTGTCTAAATCAAAAGTAATGGATGTTAGAAGACAGTAGAAGTTAGTTGTGATGAGTTAGTAGAGTTGCTGCATTGCCCCTCAGTTCTAATTTACAGTAATGGATAAGCAGCACTTTTCTTTGTGATTAGCTAAATCAATTAGTTGTGAATAATTAATTTTGTATAATCAATCAGTTGCTCTCTTTTGTAATGATTACTACAAAATGATTACTACATCAGAGGGGAGGGGGGACTACTGTTTTCAACAGTATCCCTATGTCAATGGTTTTTCTTCATAGAATAGGGTTGGGAAGGAGTTAATCCTAAAAAACATTCAGTTGCCCCCTGAATTTCCAGTTAAAGCAACAATTATTGTAGTCAACTACATTGGAGAAAACAGCATTACTGATGTGGAGATACAAGAGTGTCTTATGGTGTGTAACTTCAAGCAGAAGTAGGTCACTCAATTGCAGTAAAATTCCTGGAAACATACAGAAATATTGGTGATTTTTTGGTGTTTGTTTTGTGATATGAGGAAACAATAAATCCACTATTAAATAAGAACATGAGTGTTTTTTCACTCATTTGGAAAGGATCCTGATTATCATTCATTCCACTTGCTGAAATCTACAGTGTTTTGAAGGTAATTTCTGTTACAGCAAACTGTGTGCTTACCAGGAAAGTAAATAATATTTGACAGTAAGTCTGTTTGTTTGTCCAATAAGTTGAAAGACTTCAGTTAACCTAAAAGCAAAGCAAACAGCTTTCCTTTAGAGCTGTTGAAACCACTTCCCAGTTATGTAGAAACTCCAACAAGCCCCTCTCCAATAGGCTGTCATCCCATTCATCTTCTCTAACTAGTAGTAATTGAATTACTAAAAGATTACTTTTAGATCATAATCAGTCATAGGAATTCTGTTACTAGTACAACCACAGAATTAGGTGAATAATGCCACTATATTTTGGACCCTTCTACAATGCCATATAATCCAGATTATCAGATAACTCACATTATCTGCTTTGAACTGGATTATATGAATCTACACTGCCAGATAATCTATTTCAAAACAGATAATCTGGATTTTATGTGGCAGTGTAGATGGTGCCTGAGTTCTCCATGAAAAAGAGTAGATCTGAGGAAGCTCAGATTGTGAAACTGAAGCCCCTTCTACACTGCGATGTAATCGAGATTATCAAAGTCGATATTCACCGGATTATACATATTTGTTTGTTTGTTTATTTATTTATTTACGACATTTATATGTCGCCCTTCTCACCTTGAAGGGGACTCAGAGCGGCTTACAAGGTATATATACACACAATATATTATATTATTAGCATAGCACAATATCAGTATTAAATATTACTATATTGTACTATACCATTATATTGTAATATTATTAGTAATATTACATATAATATAAATATATAATTATAATATCATATTATTATTATTATTAGTAGTAGTATTTTGCATTACATTATAATATTGTAAATATTATATGTATATACAATATATTATATTATAGAGTCCACACTGCCATATAATCCAGTCCAAAGACGATAATCTGGATATTGTATGGCAGTGTAGAAGGGGCCCAAACTGTTCCTCCTGAATGCCCTGATTGTTTTCCTTCATTGGAGACTACAATAGTGTGTTCCACAGAATCTGTCCATTATATTCCTTGCTGTCTCTAATACATTGGACTTCTCAATAAGGCATGGGGCACCATTTTTGCCATGGGCATCAAGATGCCCCGGGCCAATTCTGCTACCCATATCTGCTTTTTGTCAGGGTTTTAATTGTAACAAAATCTCAGATCCCTTCCAGGTCCACATTCAAATAAATGCGGACTTCAGGGAGAAAACGGTTGCTATAGTTGCCAACTGAATGGAAAACAACCAGAAATGAATTGTTGGGGCTTTTCACAGCATGAAAATAAGCATTGCCTTCTGCTTATATCTTTGGATCGAGCAATGAATAGGGGACCGAGCACAGACTTCAAAAGATGCCGAATTATGAGAAATTATGAGAAAAAGCCTAAATATACCTCTATCTGTTGTCTGTCTTGTCATTGTATAATTGGCATTAAATGTTTGCTGTATATGTGTTTTGTGATCTGCTCTGAGTCCCCTTCAGGGTGAGAAGGGCGGATTATAAGTACTTTAAACCAATAAATTTATAAATCAGGTATTTAGTAAACAAAGTTGTATATAATGCAGATACATCTATCTAGATTTAAGACTTTACCAGATAGTTTTACTTTTTCTCCTTTAAAAATGAGAATTAACCTATTTTCTGTTGTATTTTGTTTTAGGGCGAAGTAATAGAATACCTTGATGACCTCCTGGCAGTGGATGGTGGAACACAGTGACTGAACAATTGAAAAATATAAGTTTTTAAAACGAATTACCCAACATTGTTCCTTTTTATCTCAGGCCCCTTTTACACTGCCAAATAATCTAGGTTATCAAAGCAGATAAAGCTTTGAACTGGATTATATACACTGCCATATAATCCAGTTCAAAGCAGATAATCTGGATTTTATATGGCAGTGTAGAAGGGGCCTCATGTGTCACTTTTAGCTCAGGTGTTAGAAATACCTCAGATCTTTCTTCCGCTTGCTCAGAAGACACCTGAACTAACCTGTGAGTTATCCCCACAACTTAAACCTGCTTTTTTTTTTGTAATGAAACCATTTTGTAATGAAACATCTTACCCAGCTTCATATAGGCAGCAGCCAAATGTGTCAGATTCTAGTTCGGTGGTTCTCAACCTGTGTGTCCCCAGGTGTTTGGCCTTCAACTCCCAGAAATCCCAGCCAGTTTACCAGCTGTTAGGATTTCTGGGAGTTGAAGGCCAAAACATCTGGGGAACCCAGGTTGAGAACCATTGCTCTAGGTTTTTGGATTGTTAGGAAATGAGGCAGGGCCTCCTTCTCTCTCTCTTTCAAAGGAGACCTTCTAGGCCAGTGGTTCTCAACCTGTGGGTCCCCAGGTGTTTGGCCTTCAACTCCCAGAAATCCCAGCCAGTTTACCAGCTGTTAGGATTTATGGGAGCTGAAGGCCAAAACATCTGGGGGCCCACAAGTTGAGAACCACTGGTGTAGGTAAAACACAAACATGTGAATAGAACAGAATAAATAGATTTTTGCAAGACACTCTGAAAACGTTCTTTGACAAATAAGTGGACAAAAAAAATCCTACAAAAAAACGAACAAAGTAAATGAAAATGATAACTATTCTTATACAATTTTGGAAGGCTGCTCTATTATTTATAAGCAATATATTTTTATTAAAAAATACTTGGATTAAAAATAAACATTTCAGCTGCTAGCATTTAATATTGAGGTTACAATCCCTATGTTTTCTTGGCTCAGAGTAAGTGTCATTGAACTTGTTGGGACATATTTCTGGGCAGACGCATACAGAATTGCACTGCAAACTTTGGAAAGAAATTCCCTAGATAAAACATAGACATTTGTGATTCTAATATATCTGATACCAACAGATCAAGATTTTTTTTAGTACTTTGCCGAGGCCTTGATTGCATGTCCACAATAAGATTAGGGGAGCGAGTGATACATTGGGATATGTTGAGAGAAAACTGGCAAGTTGCTTGTTTTCTGCATTCACTATTGAAAGAAAATGCAATGGAGTTGAATTTTAGAAAACTGGCTAACTCAAAAACAATTTGTCTGTTTGCCAGGAATGGCTCTTGGAGAAGCTAATTTGTGGTTTCTTGTTTCACAAAACGTCCAGAATCCAGACACATGAATCTTGCCTCTGACAAGTACTATGAGTAATGCTGTAATCAATTTATTCATCTACCAACCAATGGATCTGTAATAATCCGTATCCCTCCAACTTTCGCTAGTTTAGAACAGTAGCAATAAGAAATACATACCTAAGACTCTCAGCCATGGGAATTGGTAAATGCCAGGTAAATTCAGTTTCTGGTTGCTTGAGAGCTACTATTCAAAATAGGCCTTATTTGTTTATTGTGTCAGAAGCAAATTGAGAATACAGTTAATATATATTTAAAAACCACAAACAAAGTTTAAAAACTTGACATTGTACTAAATGACCAGAAGTTGACCACTCGGAGTGCCCCTGATGTCTCTGTAAGAAGATCCTCCATTGTGCATGTGGCAGGGCTCAGACTGCATTGTAGTAGATGATCTGTGATTTGCTCTTCTCCACAATCGCATGTCGTGGACTCCAGTTTGTAGCCACATTTCTTAAGATTAGCTTTGCATCTCATGGTGCCATAGCGCAGTCCGTTCAGCGCCCTCCAAGTCACCCAGTCTTCTGTGTGCCCAGGGGGAATTTCTCATGTGGTATCAGCCACTGATTGAGGTTCCAGGTTTTAGCCTGCCACTTTTGGACTCTCGCTTGCCGAGGTGTTCTTGTGAGTTTCTCTGTAGGTCTTAGAAAGCTGTTTTTTGATTTAAGGTGTTGGCTTGCTGACTGATATCCGAACAGAGATAGGCCAGATGTGTCAATGCCTTGGTCCTATCATTACTGGCTGCTACTTCCCAACGGATGTCAGGTGGTAACAGTATAATTTCTCCATTGGTTTAGGGCATAGACATCCTGTGATAATACGGCATGTCTCATTAAGAACCACACCCACTGTTTTAGCTTCATGAGATGTGTGTCACATGCTTATTCAGCAGAGTAGCAAAGCAGAAGATGTCTTCACTGTGTCTGGTTGTGATCCCCAGGTTGTGCCAGTCAGACCGTATGATATTGTTTCTAGCACTCACGTTTTTGCTTGGTATTCAAGCAGTGCTTCCTGTAAGTCAGAGCAACTCCTAGGTATTTTGGTGAGTTTGAATGCTCCAGTGGAGTTCCTTCCCAGCTAATCCTCAGAGCTTGACATGCTTGTCTGCATTTTAGATGGATTAGGAATCAAGTGGTTTTCCCTGTAATAGGCGGTAAAGGTAAAGGTTTTCCCCTGACATTAAGTCCAGTCGTGTCCAACTCTGGGGGTTGGTGCTTATCTCCATTTCTAAGCCAAAGAATCAGCGCTGTCCATAGACACCTCCAAGGTCATGTGGCCAGCATGACTTCATGGAGTGCTGTTACCTTCCTGCTGGAGCAGTACCTATTCATCTCCTCACATTTGCATGTTTTCGAACTGCTAAGTTGGCAGAAGCTGGAGCTAACAGCTGGAGCTCATGCTGCTCTCCGGATTCAAACCTGCGACCTTTTGGTCGGCAAAGTTCAGCAGCTCTGCATTTTAATCCACTGTGCCACCGGGAGCTCCATAATAGCCAGTAAGAGCACCTAAAGCTTCTGAGAGCTTCTGTTCAGCCATTTCAAAGCTCCCTGCTTGAGCTGTGATGGCATGATCATCAGCATAGATGAAACTCTTTGTCCCTTCTGGCAGTGGCTGATCATTTGTGTAAGTGTAAATGCAGTATGCAACCAAACAAACAAAATAGGCCCAATACTATATCATACCATGAACTCTGTATTGGTTTGATATTAGTATTGAAATACAGTAGAAACAAATAAAGACAGTCTTAACGTAATGTCACTCAGTATTACAAAAACAGGTTTGTAAATGCAGTATTATTTCTCTGATTTTTTTGCCAGTTACTTGAGAGTTCTTTTTTACTTCAGTTACAGTTAACTGAGAATCTACTGTTCATATATGGGTCCTGTTAGCAGTCTGCTTCGGTTGAGGATATGTTAAACTAGCTTGTAATTCATTGATCAGACGTACAGCAATTCTATATTTGTTTCCTTAAACAACAGCTATTTGGGCATGGTGGTTTCGTATGGCCTGAACAACTTTCAGGTGCAGGAGAGGAATATGTAATGCTTCAGATATTTTGGGATTGCACTTGCATATTCCATCAACATGATCAATATTGTCTTAGGTCGATAGGAGTTGCATTCCAACATCTGGACAGCCACAATTGGCCATTCCTGTCCCATTCAGGTCACAGAATATTTGGGCTGAATCCAACAGCTGCAAATAATCCACCCTTACCTTCAACCTGGTCTTATTTGAAGTGGAAGTGTGTCTTTTACATGTCTGTAGGTTTTATTTTATTTTTTTAAGATCTGCAGTCAGCCTCACTAACTTCAGTGATACTTATTTCCAGATAAGCCTATGTAGGATTGCAACACCAGCCCTGTAAGCATATCTTCAGTTGCCTGACTGATTCCTGTTATTCAAGTATTTTCATTTATTTCAGTATTAATTTTTATTACTCATGTAATAAAAATGAGTTAGTAGACCAGAGTCTATACTCAGGTATGCCAGAGCAGCTTCCTTGCAGGATAGCAGATTTTGATGTTTTAGCATGGAATACATGGTTGTGATTGTTACGGTACAAACAGTTATTTATTGTAATTCTGTGTGTGAGTTTTCCTATTAGTTACACAGGCAATTGTTGACAAGACCAACTTCTGTTTCACTGCCAACATTTGTACTGACTCTTATTTCTGCACCCTCAACCACAGCTTGATACGCAGTCATTACCAGGTGATAATGTTTATATAAGAATTTTTGGAAAGCTTTTCTTGCTGTCTTGTGAAAATTTGGCTATTGTAGCAAAGAAGTGGGCCACTCGTCTTTTTTTGACCCTGTTGTTTAATCTGTAATCTCTAGATCAGTGGTGGCAAACCTATGGCATGCACCACCCTCTCTCATGGTATGCGTGCCATCACTCATATCCCTGCCCCCACTTGTTTGCCCCCCTTCCCACTTGCTCACTTGTCTACACTGCTCACCTCCCCCCCCCCAAAGTACCCAACCCCCCTCCCCCTGGGTTTGAGCACTCGGTCTCTAAAAGGTTCGCCATCACTGCTCTAGACTATGAGTTCTGTGAAGCAGGAATGTTGCTGTATTTTTTGTCATTGTTTATGGCAAGATTGGTGCTATATTTTTGTGCCTGACATTTCAAGCGCCAATGTCTGTAACAATAAAGTGCCTTAAAGAACTCTTCAGTAGTCGTGTTTTTTCCAGCATAGAAATTAATGGTTGGATATGACGCATGTACTCTTTTTGCATTTAGTTTGTCTGTATTCTCATTGAAAATAATACTGGAATTACAAGGTACTAACAACCATGGTCTCATATCTAACAGAACATACACAGTGGGTTCTCCTTTTTGGAAGGGCCATGATGGGTGAGCATATGTCTTTCATGAAGATGTTCTTCACAGAACAAGAGAGCAAAGGTGGGATCCATTGACTGCCTCCCAGGCTACATTGACTAGAAACATAATATATGGCATCCTTTTCCCATGCTATTTCTTCATCCACCTAGGGTTGTATAAAGAAGAATTTGTGAACACCCTGTGGCTTCTCCATGATGACATGATGGCAACAGTCTTGGACAGCAATTACTCTCAAAGTGATCCATTTATGATGGGATCAGGTGTCACAACAAACACAAATCCACTACAAGTAGTAGAATATAAATCACAAAGGTAAATGTTTGTTTTTTTTTGCAGCTTATATAATACAGGATGAGGCAGCATAACTTCCTTTTTTAAAATGCGCGCCATTCAGTCGGTTGAAGATATAGTGGAGCGCTAGTGGTCTCATTTGAGAGGCGGGAGTATAAAGGTTTGTCCTGACACAGTTCAGTCGCCATCATGTGTAGGAACAGTGAGGAGCGTGCTTTTGCCGTTGAGGCCTACTTTTCAACTGGATTTGGAGTGGCCGGCCTGCTCTCCAAATTTGGCCCYTTGTGATTTTTTTTCTATRGGGTTTTTGGAAATCCCGTGTTTCTGTGAACCGTCCAAGGACCTACAAGATTTGAAGACCAACATCCAGGAAGAAATGGCCAACATAATGCCTGCTATGCTGGCAAGAGTCATGACAAACGCCAGAAATCGGTTTACTCAGTGTATGGATAATGGGGGATGTCACCTACCTAATTTGATCTTCAAAACAATGTAAAACAAAACTTTAGGTATGCACCTACATTATAAAATAATAAAAATTCTGATTAATATAATGGGTTTTATTAAGTTTTGAAAAAAGGAAATTATGCTACCTCATCCTGTACAATATTAAACGTATAACCAACTTATATAATACGATTCTGGGAACCCATTGTCTTTTGTGGGATCAGGTGTCAAACAGGGATACATTATTGCCCCAACATTATTTTCGGAGTGGCTTACATGAGGCCAAGCCAGAACAACAAATTACAATAAAATAAAACCAAAACACAACCAAAAATGCAAACAGTAAACAACAACATCATAATAAAATAAAACATGTAAATACATAATATATTACAATAGACACAATAGAAAACCAAAAACTGTTATAGAACTCCAGTATGCTGATGATAATATAGTTTGTGCTCATTTAGAGGAAGACTTATAAGCGACATTTGCAGAAGAATATGAAAAGCTTGGCATCTCACTTAACATCACGAAGACCAAAGTATTATATCAGCAGGCACTAACCAATCCTTCTGCAATAAAGCTTAGTGATGTAACACTAGAAAATATTGACAATTTCCACTATCTAGGCAGCCACCTCTCCACACAAGTCAACATTGACACCAAAATACACAGTTTGAGCTCTATGAGTGCAGCATTTTTTTAAAATAAAGCGTAGAGAGTTTGAGGAACATTTGTAGAGATACCAAGATGCTTGTTTGAAAAGCTATTTTTAAAATATGTAAAGTTTAAAATATGTAATGCTGGTCCACAAAACTGTTGGGATCTTAAAACCCAATGTCAGCCTAGAGTTACATATTTAGCTTGTGTCAGTTTAAGGATTGTGTGTCCAATTACTCCATCAAAGACTGGGAGTGATGTCTGGGAACCTAAGTAAAGAACTGTGATTAATCATCCCACAATTCTGTGTCTGTTGTTGTAAAAAGGAATGAAAATGCAGTAGTAAATCCATGACATTTTTTGTGGCTGCAAGTCAGTCAGAAGAGTAAAAGTTCTATTATCATGGAACTATGTTTTAAGTCTGACTGTACACTGCAAAGTGTAGTTACTTCATGGTGTTTTTTTTAAAACTCGGTACATAAGCCGTAGGGAGAACGCGTTGGTGCCAGAGAAAACATTCTCGTTTAATAATGTTTGAACATCGAGCTGTGATGCAGTTTGTAGCAGGGCACTGAGAAAAACCCACAACTAATCCTTCATAGCAACTGTCTGAACTCTTGGTTGTCTGCCATCCTTTAAACAGCAACTTCATTTTTCTGGTTGCTTCTGGGCTGAATGACCTAGTGTGGGGAATTTATGCTACACTTTTTTAAAAAGGCTAAAAGGAGAAATCACCTAAAGAGTTTTGTAAATCACGGCTCACATTCCAGCAAATCAGCATTCTGTCTCTCAACCGTTTTTAGTGCCTGAAGTCAAAATATTAAAGCAAGTTATTTATTCCCTTCCTCTTCATTTTATATTCCCTTTATAGCCTTTCCCCTGTTTGGAGTCCTTTTACACAGCCCAAATGTATACTTTCTAGTGTTTAAATATAAATCTGTTTGTTAGATTAGGATATATTTATGTTTAAATGTTAATTTGCTCACGTTCTTCCACAATGTGACTCTACTACAACATTTACTTACTTGTACTTTTTGAGTAAACCTTTGTCGACATCAGCAAATTGTTAGTGTTGCGTTCATATCCGTTAACTTTTCACTCTTAACAAAACAATGAAATTATTATTTATATTTAAAATGTACATGTTTTGACAGTATTTAATTTATCCTTAATCCTAGACACTTTTTTATATTCCTATGAGAGGAATGTACATACTGATGATCATGACATTCAGCAGTGCTTTAAAGGATCGCAGTACAGTTATTCACAAATGGTGAAAGATTTGCTGCCAAAAACAAAGTGCCAATGGAAAACCGAAAGCCGAAACACAGCTATATCATTGCAACAAGATTTATAAAGTGAAACCAGATATGTTGTGAAATATGTAGTGATCAAGAGCAACCCAAAATATTTTACTGCCCTGAGAAATTGCAGAAAAATGACCCTTCCTTCCTACAACATTCATTAAAGACAGCAGAGTTAGTCTGACACATGGGACAGAAAACCCCACTTTTTCTCTCCAATCTTGTAAAAAAAAATATATAATAACATACTAGTCAGCTAGGGATTTGTTGTTCTTTCATTGCACCCTGACTGAACCTGGATAGATTTCCAAGTAAATAGTACAAGAGTTCCTTGGTCAGAAAGTTTTGAAGTTGGGTTCTAAATATACTCTTGAACAGTGGTTCCCAACCTTTTTTTGACCAGGGACCACTTTGACCAGGGACCACTCTCCATCATTAGTACTAAAAGGGTTACAAATCAGTTTTTGATCAACTTTAGATTCAGTTTGGTTATGTGGGGTGCTGATTCAGAAAATTGCATTGGATAGATCACATCAGCTCTAGTTTCTGATACAGAACATATGCCATCCATTAGTCTGCTCGCCCACAGAAAACCACAGAAAATAATCTAGAACTGATGTCATCTATCCAATGCAATTTTCTGAATCAGCACCTCAAAAGACCACAGGAAAGGGCCTAAAAATGAAGACACCGTGGCACCCCTGCTTCCAGGCACTACATGGAACAGCTCCGCTTGGGGGAGGGAGGAGAAGGGTTGCACCTTTCGTGGGTAGTCAGCGTCCCCCCTCCCGACATCCCTGTTGCCTCAGCATTATAAAAGGGTTTCGCGAGACCAGTTGCTCTCGTTGCAACAGCCTCACCATTACAGTAAAGCCGCAGACCATATTTTGGTTCTTGGAGACCACTGGTGGTCCATGGACCACAGGTTGGGAACCACTGCTCTTGAAGAAGACCTAAATGCACCAGGCTTTCCTAGTAATAAACAACCATATTTACAGTATCTTTAGATATTTTTCTTATTTCTTTTGTGAATGCCATTGGTTGCTCCTCAGATTGTATTTCATTAGACTATAACCAAAATTCTGCAGGAACTTTCTGCCAGTTAATAGTCAATTATATGTAACAACAGAACTGTAACCTAACACTACAGTTTGTACCCACTTATTTCTTTTAATTCCCTGGAACTTAGTTATATAACACTCATGAAAGTTACTTTTGGGACTGCAACTCTCAGAATCCTCTGGCCAGCAGAGGCATTTTATTTGCAGAATTGTAATCCCAAAAAGCAACTTGTTGGAAATAGCAACCGTCTTCAAGCCTCCACTAGTAATTTGTTTATATATTATTCTGTTTGTTTGCTTACTGTATTGTATATGTATGTTTTGGTATGCAGCTTTCCCTTTATGTTTCTTGAGGTTGTGGGAGGGGCTGCAAAGCACATGATCAGATCTGGGACTGCTGAGAGCTCAGACTCCATTTTGTAACACAGAGATGCCATTTGACTTTGGACTGTTAAGAGCAAACTCATGTTACTGTTGATTATAAGAAAGATGTCCTGTGTTATTTGCACGGAGAAACTACTTCAAACCTAGATGTACATGTACGCTGAATACCTGAAGGTTGTGAATAAACCGAATATGTTACTTTTAACAAAGTCTACTTTATTTTTGTCTCTTGAGAGTATGCTATTGAAACAAGATGTTTTATGGGAGAGTAGATGTTTTTGGGCACTGAAAATAACATTTCTGAAGAACTATATTTGTGCATTGGCATAATCTCTGTTCCTAACAGATCAGAAACAATCAGGTTACCTACCAATCTAACAACTGAAAAACAAATTACCTTACATAAGTACATGTGGTTATAAGTACATGTGTATAAATATGTGAGAGGAAGTTACAGAGAGGAGAGAGCAAGCTTGTTTTCTGCTTCCCTGGAGACTAGGACACGGAACAATGGCTTCAAACTAAAAGAAAGGAGATTCCATCTGAACATCAGGAAGAACTTCCTGACTGTGAGAGCCGTTCAGCAGTGGAACTCTCCGCCCCAGAGTGTGGTGGAGGCTCCTTCTTTGGAAGCTTTTCAATAGAGGCTGGATGGCCATCGGTCTGGGGTGCTTTGAATGCAATATTCCTGCTTCTTGGCAGGGTGTTGGACTGGATGGCCCACGAGGTCTCTTCCAACTCTATGATTATATGATTCTATATATCACTGAAGAGAAGACTTTACTCTTTCTCTGGAAGATCATATTTTACAAAAAGTTATGATTTTCAAATGGTTGTGAGTGTCATTTTTCTCCAAAAGTTTATGGAGATTCTGGTCTTCCAAAAGGTTATGATCTCTAAAAAAGTTGGATCCACATGTAGTCATATCTAGAGCAGACCTATTGGACTTAAGTTAGTTATGATGAATACTCTTGGTTTCAGTGATTTCTGAGTACAAGTGGATCCCAAACCAATTAGAGAACTGTATCAGAAAAAAGACTTGATAAATAACCTTCAGGAATATATTCAATAGAATTCCAAAGGACTGGGAGGTAGGTTGGAAATGGTTGGTTTATTTTTAAAAAAATAATGAAACTTAATGGTATACCATCCGTTCAAGGCCATTCATAGAAGATCCTCTCTAGGTACATGCTCTCATGCAAATATATATAAAAAAACTTTTTTTAAAGTTTGAAGGCCAAATTTCTTATAGAGCTCATGACGAACACCTCCCATAATGGTATCCATTAAAGGGTGGGGCATCTCCAGTACAAAGTCACTGAAGGGGCAGTAAGCATGGTAGCATGCATTTTTGAAGTTCTGTTAAACACAACAACTGACAAATGTCTCTACAACTTGATCCTGGTTCAAAAAGGACAAAAGAGACTTCAGCAAAATTATTTGCATCTTGGTATGGTTTCCCACGCTTTACAGGCTGCATCCATGATACCCACGATACACATAGTTCTCTAGCCATTATGTCTATAATTGAACACCTGTTTCAGAAAGCTATCCCATCTTGATGTCTTCAAGCAAGTGGGTGTTTAAAAAGTCTACTGTTCCGCTAGTTAATTAATACTGATATCAAATCTTTGTGATTTCAGATAGCTATAAATCCTGCTGATCCGCGAACAGCTTTTTTCTTCTTGCTTTCTGAGAACATGTGCATTACAGTATCCTTTTTTCATTCAGCGTCTCTTTCCCCTCTTCTTTTACATTTGAATATAGTTCTCTGGATTAGACTTTTTGCATTTCAATCTGTTGCGGCTGGTGCCCAGCATGATCTTTCCCATTCAGTTTATAGACAGAGGTCTTCTGTTGCCGTTTCTTGAAGCACCAGACGGCCAGGATTGTAGCAAGAAAAAGCAAACACACAACAGTCACACCAATAGCTACTATGGGGCCTTTATTTGGGGTGGAACAATCAGCCCCAGCACATGGTTCAAAAGTGGTCACGGACTTTCCATCTAGTCCATAGGTAAGAGCTTCTCTTGCTATAGTGGTAAACGTGTTTTGAGAAGATACAGTAGTAATTGTTTGTATTGGGAAGGTCACAGTTTCATATTCTTCTTCTGGTAATGGTACGTGGTCAGTGACACGGAGCACTGCTGAAGTGTCCACCATCTCCAGGTCCAAGGTAGTGACTGTACTTATGGGTGCGAGCTCCTGAGTGACTAATCCCGTGGCATAAAGGAGGACATCCTCAGAACTTACAATTCCAGTCTCTGGGCCACTTGTTGGAAGTAGCCTTACTAATATTCTTTCAATCCCATCACTATATGTCAATGGCAAGGCTGACTCAGTCGGTACCAAATCCTTGCCCACGTTGCTGCCCCCTGTTCTCATCATTCCATCATAACTCCTTTGATCAGTGGCAAAGTCATCTTCTCTCCCCATAGAACCATCCATTTTATCCCCTTCTTCATCTTCCTCTTCTTCTATGGCTTCTTGAGTAACAGGGTAGCCATCTAGCCAGGACTCATCTACATTGGATTCTATCCGTTTTGCTGCTTTTGTATCATTATTCACAATAACAGGTCCAGCAGGGAAGTCTTCACTTTCATATATCATCTTGGTGTCCTGCTCATTCAACATAAATGTGATACCAATGTGGTTGTCACCATCAGCAACGTAAGTCCTGGTAATACCATCCATGGCTTTCTCTGGCTCCTGTTCTTTTTCTTCTGTCTCTTTAACATTATGCTCATGATCTTCCGTTGGCATAGATCGGTCATCAGGGAAATTATCTTCATAATCAATATGCCCCTCGGTTTCATCTGAAAAGGAGAAATATAATAATAATAATAATAATAATAATAATAATAATAATAATAATATAATTTTATTTTTAATTTATAATTTTATTTATAATTTTCTTTCTGGAACCAGAACATCACAAAAGTCTCTGTGGCTGTTGCACTCTTTCTTGAAAGTCAAGCATCTTTTGCCAGCTCACTGCCTCTACCTAAACCATCCACCACACACACATCATAAGAGACAGGTATTTATTTAGGTAGCATATTTAAAATAACATTTTCATTGCCAATTAATCTCAGAACTTACTGTCCAATTAGTCACTTTCACACTACATACAGTTATAGCACTAGGATTCTACTTTAACTGCCATCATTCCACCCCATGGAGTTTGGGGATTTGTAGTTTAGGGAGCAACATGGTGTAAAAGTTTGAACACTGGACTACATTTGAAAACCAGGGTTCAAATCCCCACTTGGCCATGTAAATCCACTGGCTGATCTGGGGTAGGTCACATTATCTCAGTCTCAGACAAAAGCAAAAAATTGAGGATGCCTGCCATAGATGCAAGCGAAAGTTCAAAAGAAAATGCTTCTGGAACATGGCCGTACAGCTCAAAAAACTAACTGGGATGGGCGGAGTTTGGTGGGAAGAAGACAGTCAGGAGTTTGAAGGGGGAAGGAAGAGTTTAGGAACTGTTTGTGGTTTACAATATACCTCTTTGAGGATAATAGTTAATAGGCCTCTATAGGGATTAGAGTGCTGTGGGAGGAAGGGAGAGTCAAAAGGTTTTGAAGATCCTGTTTGGATTGCTGTATGTAGAACTTAGTTTTAAGAAACTCAAGATATAAGTACCATCCTCTATAGGAAATAAAGCCTGACAAGTTATTTCAAACCATTACATATATTGACTGTTCAATACAAGAAAACAGATCCCAAAATGCATGGGATGAGAACCTAAGTCTTGCATACCATGTAACTTTACCTATAGCCTATAGGATACCCTGTGGGTTTTCCTAGGTCCTACCATATTACCAGGTTTGTACAACAAAATGGCTCTCAAGTAACAATGTTGGTATTTAATTCCTTGGGATTGGTCTGCATGGAACAAAGGGCTTACGTACATGCATACGTACATCTTGGTCCCAACTTTCCTCCCCTCATTGCTGTCTTTTGGGGACACTAATGTAACACACTAAAGGCAGAGGAACGAGAGACCAAATTGCCAATATCCGTTGGATAATGGAGAAAGGCAGGGAGTTTCAGAAAAACATCTATTTCTGTTTTATTTACTATTCTTAAGCCTTTGACTGTGTGGATCATAATAAATTGTGGCAAGTTCTTGGTGGTATGGGCATACCAAATCACCTTGTATCTCTCTTGAGGAATCTGTATAAGGACCAAGTAGCAACAGTAAGAACTGACCATGGAACAACAGACTGGTTCAAGATTGGGAAAGGCATACGGCAGGGTTGTATACTCTCCCCCAACTTATTCAACTTGTATGCAGAGCACATCATGCGATATGCAGGGCTTGACGAATGCAAGGCTGGGATGAAAATTGCTGGAAGAAACATTAACAACCTTAGATATGTAGATGACACCACTTTGATGGCCGAAAGTGAGGAGGAGCTGAGGAGCCTTCTAATCAAGGTGAAAGAAGAAAGCGCAAAAGCTGGGTTGCAGTTAAACATTAAAAAAAACCAAGATTATGGCAACAAGAATGATTGACAACTGGGAAATAGAGGGAGAAAACATGGAGGCAGTGACAGACTTTGTATTTCTAGGAGCAAAGATTACTGCAGACACAGAGTGCAGCCAGGAAATCAGGAGACACTTACTTCTTGGGAGGAGAGCAATGACAAATCTTGATGAAATAGTGAGTAGAGACATCACACTGGCAACAAAGATCCGCATAGTCAAAGCAATGGTATTCCCCGTAGTCACCTACGGATGTGAGAGCTGGACCATAGGGAAGGCTGAGCGAAGGAAGATAGATGCTTTTGAACTGTGGTGCTAGAGGAAAGTTCTGAGAGTGCCTTGGACAGCGAGAAGATCCAATCAGTCCATACTTCAAGAAATAAAGCCTGACTGCTCATTGGAGGGAAGAATAGTAGAGGCCAAGATGAAGTACTTTGGCCACATCATGAGAAGAAAGGAAAGCTTAGAGAAGACAATGATGCTGGGGAAAATGGAAGGAAAAAGGAAGAGGGGCCGGCCAAGGGCAAGATGGATGGTATCCTTGAAGTGACTTGATTGACCTTGAAGGAGCTGGGGGTGGTGACGACCAACAGGGAGCTCTGGCATGGACAGTATAAAGGCTCGTATATGTCACCACTAATATATCTTGACAGGGGGCAAACAGATCCCACCAACTGTCCCAGCAATATAAAGAATTCACTGGCACCAATATAAATGTGATGAGGGGATGTCTCTCTAGTTAACGTCCGCTGCCACCAACACTGAAAAGGTACAGGAACACCCTGGCTGTTCAAATATTAAAAAGGCTTTTGAGACCACCAATCACTGTATTTTATTATTTGTTTCTTTAAAGGAAAACTAGTTGAGGTTGACTGGAAAAGGGACTATAGCCACAAAGGCACACTGGACTCAGGCTTCTTAAGTTTTAAAATATCAAGGAAAGTTTATTGATAACATATAAGAGAAAGTAAGTGCTGTTAAGAATCTTGCTGTTACAGAGAAATGTTAGTTCTTGTCTTTAAAGCGTAATGGTTACATGTAAATGGCTCTTTCTTTGTTACAAAAAACAGAGATTTTCTTCTCTTTAAAACCAAGCACACTTGACATGAACTGAATCTCTGTCAAGATACAACTGTAGCCTAGCTACCCTGAACTGTGGCCTAGCTAACTACAAACCAGCTATCTTTCCCTGATAGCTGTCCCAGTTTGCTACAGTTTCTTTTGCTGGCAAACCTAAGGTAAACTGCCTTCTCTTAACTAATCTTAAACACGAACTCCTAAACTACCTTCCTACTCTAATCTCTAACAACAACAGACTGACTGAAAAAGCCCTCTTTCTTTCCCTCCAAACCTTGCTAAACTCCGCCCCCTTTTCTGAACCAATCCTGGCTGTTCTAATGCTAACTCAGGCCTAGGACACTCCCCCTCTCTAAAATGGTGTTTTCCCTGAACTAAAATGGCTACTGCTGCCCTCTGCCAGGCCTACTAAAGCTGCAACTAACTGGCCTGCTGTTCCTAGGCCCTGCCATCCAGGCTGGAAAGGTAAGGGATCTTTACAGACAGGTCCATGAAGTCACGAAGAGTCAGAAAAGACTGAACGAATGAACAACAAAAAATGTAACACACATGGAAATGCCAGAGTGTCATACCAGAGTACAATGACATGAGCTGGAAAAGGGTCATGGTGGGCATCCAGGCTTCAAAGTCCTTCACGCTTATAAAAAACTAAAACTAAAACTAAACTTCCTGCTTCTTCCCCACAGCCTGAGATTTGTCTCCCCACTTGGAGAAGCAAGGCGATTCCCTGAGATTGTCACCAGCACCCTGGGACCTGGCAACTATACATGAAAGTCAACAATTTCAGCTAGGGCACATTTTCATTTCTTTCCAAACGTTGAGAGACTTGTTCTGTTTTACTTGTCGTGCTCATTTCATGGCTACCCTATTTTTTTCCCCTCTGAAGAAGACAGAAAGTCCTGCCAGAAATAACTTTTTCAATGTCTGATACTTTTATGTCTGATTTTTTTCACATTTGACATGTTGACAAGGAAATACTGAAATACTCTCTCAATCCTGGACTTTAGTTATTGAACAGCATTGTGCACAGAAAAAAGGAAGCGAAAAGGAAAGGTACAGTTACGAGAAAAAAATATTATTATGTCTGAAAGTCTAGTTACTGTGCCATTTCAGTGAGGTTATTTTTACTTTTCTTAGAAATAAATGTTGGTATCAGGATGTGGCTTTATAAGGTCAGTTCTTAGCTAGCATGTGTTGATTTGGTTATACCAAGGCCAAAAACTACACTGATTTAAGAACTCAGCCTACTATTTTTGAAGCCACAAACTTCCAGAGCAAAAGACAGGATACTGGACCCAAAACGGCTTTCATAACTACATAAATCTAATTGAATTGACAATTAGGCCACCTTCTAAGTTTGGAGGAATGTTTAACTCTTTGAAAACAGCACCTGCCTTGAAGGGCTCAGGTGGATGTCATAGGCTGCATCTACACCGCCATATAATTCAGCTCCAGAATACAGATTGCCTGAATTGAACTGGATTATATGGTAGTTTAGACTCATATAATCCAGTTCAATGCAGGTAATCTGCATTCTTACACTGGATTATACGGCAGTGTAGATCCAGCCTTAGTCTGAAAACAGCAGATCTAAATAATAATAAATAATAATAAAATTTATTTATATACTACCCTAAATCCCCGAAGAGACTCAGAGTAGTTTCCAACATATAAGGAAAGGATTGTATTGTCTAAAAGAAAACCATGCAGACAAATTACATCAAGATAAGCACATTAGACAATATAAAACAACCTAATTTAACTTAGCAAACATTTTTAACAAAAATAAAAACACCATAAAACCCAAAAATCCTGCTAAAACACACTAAATTTTTTTAAAGCAACTGCATTGTAAACATAATGTGTTTTCTTCACCCACAATCTCTGGTATGAGTACTTTTTTAAAAGGTGAAACATTTCAGACTGAGCACTTTCATACAACAAAGTTGCAATGTTATGTTTCCACTTTAACTGCTATGGCTTCATTGTAGAGGCTCTTGGGATTTGTAATTCGGTAAGGCACTAGAGCTGTCTGGCTAGCTAAGAAAGCTCAATATCCTCTCTATACAACAAATCCTGGGACTCTACAAGATGCAGCATGATATAGTATCATAGAACCGTAGAGTTGAAGGAGATCTCATGGGCCATCAAGTCCAACCCCCTGCCAAGAAGCAGGAAAATCACATTTAAAGCACCCCCAACAGATGGCCATCCAGCCTCTGTTTAAAAACCTCCAAAGAAGGAACCTCCACCACACTCCGGGGCAGAGAGTTCCACTGCTGAACGGCTCTCAGTCAGGAAGTTCTTCCTAATGTTCAGGTGAATCTCCTTTCTTGTAGTTTGAAGCCATTGTTCCATTGCGTCCTAGTCTCCAAGTAAGTAAGTAAGTAGAATCTTATTAACATACAGTGGGTCCTTGGTATCTGCTGAGGTTTGGTTGCAGAATCCCCATCAATACCAACATCGATAGATGCTCAAGTTCCATTGTATAGTAAAATGGTGTCCCTTACATAAAATTGTAAAATCAAGGTTTTTGGGAGGAGAGTATTTCAAACAGTGGATGACAGAATCAGTGTCAGCCTTTTTCTATTCCATGTGGTCTAAATTAGAATTTATATGAGGGTTTTGGGAATAGATGGAAGGTATGGTAGATTTTTGTATGTATGTGCTTTCAAAATGCCTGGCAACTTATGGTGATCCCATGAAATTCATAGCGTTTACTTAGACAACGAATATTAAGAAGTACTTGTTCAAGTTCTTTCCTATGAAATATAACCTACAACAACTGTTATTCATTGGTGGTCTTCCATCAAAGTTCGAACCAGGACTGATCCTGCTTAGCTTTCATGATCAGATAGGAATTGGCGCCTTTAGTGCAATGGTTCCCAGCCTGTGGTCTGTGGACTACCAATAGTTCCCAAGAACGAAAATATGGTCCGTGGCCTCACCATTACTACACCGTTGCAACGGGAATGACTGGTCTTGTGAAACCTTCTTATAGCCTATATGTTCCATTTTACAGATTTACTCTTTTGTAAAAATTTGAATTACTTGGGAAAATGGTTTAAATGTTTATGTACAAAAACACATTAGATTTAATTCAAATTGTGCTTTCTGGACAATACTTCACCTCACTTTCTGTCCCATTGGCCATTTGGCTTCTTGTGGAAACAAGGATTGGTGATAAAGTTTCAATGGAGACACCCCCCCCCTCCCCCGTTGCCCCATGATAGCTCTTCCAGGAGTGAATTTCCCAAGGGGCAGATTTCTCTCACTTCCTGTTGTCTTACCACCATTCTTTACTATGAGTCATTTCTACGTTGGATGTTTGAAACTTGGGGACCAGATTTAATTTGAATTGTGCTTTCTGGACAAAGCCCTGAAACTTTAAATCTATCCAAAGAAACTTTTAGAAAAGCATTATAACTAAAGGAATTAGTAAATTCACTAACTTTTAGATCATATAACAGCTACACGAGATTAGCGATTTTAGAGGAAGCAATCTTGTACATTACATTACACTCCATGAGATCTATACTAGTTTGTACTCTCAGATGTAGGTTTCAATGTCATTATCAAACTTGTAACCCAAATCCTAACTTTACTAAATTACTGTAAATGTTAGTTTGCTATCTGAAATCATGTAGATATGTATACAAGGATGATATTGTAGATTCAAGGTGGTATATCAACATATTTATTTGACCATCCATGTTTTCTTTTATGTAGTTTATGCAGTCTATTTTTTACCCTTTTCTCAGTCCTCTCCTGCTGTATTTTTAAATTTCTTTTTTTTTCTTGGAGCAGTCTGTTTTCTGCTACCTAACATAGAAATGTTCAGGGTAACCTCTTGTCATCATTTATCAAGGGAATGGCTCCAAGAACCTGTATTCATGCTTCAAAGCTTGTGACGCATGAGACTTTTGGCTTGAACCACTGCTTTCTGGAAACAATCTATTGCCCAAATAGCTGGAGAGACTGTACAGTAATGTTGGAGACCAATATCTAAAATAACAGATAACTTGTCTAAACTATAGTCATCGACTTCATTCCACAGAGTATGTCTGTGCCAATAACACTATGTAACATGATTTTTGTTCCTGGGTTATAAATGCCATTTCCTAATTGGTTCTGTCATCCTGCCGCACATTTTGCTATAGTTTTTCAATGGATATCTCATCGAATCCCAACCAATTCAACATAGTTTGTGGCAGTCACGAAAATGAAGTTTCTGGAGGATAACAACTACTCTCAAAGCAAGTACCGCATAACAGGAAATAATACTTTCAAACCAGGAACAGAATTTTTTTTCAAATTTTGTTTAGCAATGTAATTATTGCCTGCTGGTGACGTTAAAGCAGTGAACGATTTGTGTAGTTCTTCTTTTATTCAAGATCTGTACCTTAACCCGTGGGTTTATTTGGCTCTCAGATGATGCTATATTTAGTCACAGGGTCAGCCCTACCATTAGATGGAGTGAGGCGGTCATCTCAGGTGGCAGGTGCCGACTAGCAGTTTTAGGGTCCATGTGCACCACATACCCAGTCTGTACCATTTAAAAGTACCATCATTATGTTATTCACCTATTCGGGCCAATGGGGACACTTCCGGACTCCTCCCCCCCTCATTTTTAGGGCTATCAGGATGAAACTAACTATAATTGTAGCACATATTCACCACTGTAAGGTTCCCAAGTTTCAGGACGTTTCACTCATCCACTGATTTTTAGGAATTTTTTGAAATTTTATTGACATTTTTTTAAAACTGCAAGAGCAATCCCCTTGATTTTCTCTACAATGACACAATAGGACCAGGGCATCACCCCCCCCCCCCAAGTTTCAGAAATATTCATACATTCACTGATTTTTAAAGTTTTGTTCTCTCTCTCTCTCTTTCTCTCTCTCCTAACTCCACAAAACACACTAGGGAGCGGTGGGAAAGACACTTTGCAGATCCTGAGCTTAGACTCTGGCATAGTTCTTCTCCTGTATGGCATATCAATAAAGCCCCTATGGCTGGCTTAGGGGCTGCCTGGTTCAAGCATATAGCAGTGGTTCTCAGCATTTGGGCCACAAGGTGTTTTGAACTTCAACTCCCAGAAATCCCAACCACCTTACCAGCTGTTAGGAACTGTGGGAGCTGAAGTCCAAAACATCTGGAAGCCCAAAGATTGGGGACCACTGGCGTATAGGGTCAGGGAGAAGGACTGCAGTGGTGCAGCCCACCCCAGCCACATTGCATGAGAGAGGCAAACCAAAGAACGGGAAAATTCAGCTTCTAGCTAGTCGGTCACTGCTTGCTACCCTAGATCTCCTGCTTTCTTCCAGCTCACTCTCAATGGCACAAGGAGCACCTTCCCCTGTGCCTCAGCCCTGATAGGTTGAGGAGAGCATGTGACATAACAAATTTGCCTGCGCCACCCAGTAAAATTTGCTTGTGCTGAAGAAGAAATTGACTCACTGTGACTTACGAAAGTAACAAACTTTTTACAAAATCTTCGTAGATGGCTGTTTGAATTCATCTGCATTACGCTGCCTAAACCCTTGAAGAGATCTGCATGTGTATCTTCCCCTGTATAAATAGTGTTCTCTATACTATAGTCGCCCCCCCCCCCCATGGCCCAAAGATTTCTATTTATGCCTCAGTGAGCATAGAGTCCATAACTCATTGGTATATGCTTCACACGCAAGAGTCCCAGGTTTAGCCCTTCAATCTCAGCAATAGATCTGGAAGGAAATCTCATATGAGACCCTGCTTCAGGTGTAGGAACAGCACTTCAGTTATTTTTGGGATTCTAACTCCTATCACCTACAGACTATGCAGCCAACAGTCAAGAGTGATGTGTGTTGTCATCCAACAATATTTGAAGAGTCACAGATTCCTAACTATCCTAAAGAATTGCATCCAAATCAGAAAAGGCAACCTATGTCAAGATACACAAATACACAAGATACACTCATTATAAGAAAGCCCTGTTTTGTATTGCCATATTAGCTAGTTTAAATCTTGGCCAACAGCCAGAATTTATTTTCCCCCAATTATTTTAAAGATATATCTGTCTTGGTTGGTGTCCTTGAAGTAGTTGTCACTTTTCCATTCATGTTCAGCTTGACATCCTGGTTTTCCGCAATGGCTACATAGCAGGACAAAGCAGACGATTGAATGGGTACATTTAATGCCGTGATAGTTTTAAAGAACTAACCTAACTTAAAATGCTATCTACCACACCAGAAGGAAAATGGTTCTATTTCCAGAAAAAAAGTGTATGATATATTCATTGGCTCACCTTTGACACAAGCCTGTACTTGACCAAACCATTCCCCGCATGTGTGACAGAGCAGAGTAAAAGCCATGTCCTTGTTACTCATGGCATATCCCTGGGCACAGACGTAGTGCAGTTCATCTCCCATTTCAAACCCAGTATATCCATGCAGAATAGTATGAGGGAAAGATGGAGGATCCCCACATGGTTTGCCTAGATGGAAAAGAAAGGAGAAGCAAATAAATATTTTTAAAAACTGACTAGATATTACTTTGCACTTCTAATAGAGTAGTATTTTACTATATCAGATCTGCAGACATTACACTGTAAGGGCTGGATTGCAGCTAGGATCTTAGGAAGTAATCCTCCGAGAATATCTTCCTGCAAGCTCTGCATTTTTGTTTGGATTCCATATCGATAGCCAGAAATAACTGGGGGAATATAATATAACACTTCTATTTTGTTTTTCAACTCTAAAACCACTATTCTTTTCTGGATCCAACTGTGGAGTCCAGATCATGAATGCTTTCATAATTGATTTGTCTAGTTCCAATCTATTATGAGAGTGGTCTACTGAGTTTTATTTGTATTGAGAGCATTATACGTGAAACCTGAATTTTGTCAAAACGGCAGTATTTGTGTTTGTTTGAGTACACATGTGCAAGCATGTATGCACATGCACACATTAATCCAGCCTATGAATTCCATCTAAAGTTATTCTAGATCTCTGATAGGAAATGCACGCAGTGGTATTCAGGAATGTCTTAAGGGTTCTATCACTTTTGTATACCTCCATCAACTCAATAGATTATCAAGAAATAGCAATACAATAATTAAATACCACAAAGGATTTGCATTTGGGAAATTTACTTTTTTGAACTACAGTACCCAGAAACCACAATCAGCAAGGCTAGCTGTGAGTTTCTGGAAGCTGTAGTGCAAAAAATGTGTGTTTACCAAGCTCTAGTTTGGGAATTGAGCTTAGGCCTAAATCCCGAGTTGATGTTTGATATATGGGATTCACATCTACATTCAATTGCTAGTCCTGACTTATGTAAACCCACCAAATGAGCTGCTAAATGGTAAATCACCATTTATGTGAATCCAATGAATTTAACACATCTACTTTAGTTTAGACTGGCAATTGGATTTAGAATCCTGTCTCCCAACATTCTTGGCATTTCTGAGTCTTCCCTTCCCTAGGTCTCTATGTGAAGCAGGAATTCATGTGAATCCAGCACAAATACACACAGAACCCACATGGCCATTAATGTGGGAGATCAAGAAAGAATTCTGTGGCATCAGTGGAAGCATTTTAAATAAAGAGTAATTTTCACATGTGTACAATAACCAGGGGAGAATTATACCACACGGGAGGGGAAATCTAGCTCTTCTCCCCAGCTCTGAAAATATGATATAGACATATATTAAATTCATAATAAGTAATATAAATGCCCTACGATGTGTTACGAGCAGTTCAAAATAACATCAGCAGCAAATATTACTACTACTACTACTACTACTACTACTACTACTCTGCCAAACTGAGTCACCTTCGGGCTGATAACGGTGAGATAAAAGTGACGTAAATAAATAAATACTACTACTACTACTTATTATTATTATTAGAATTAGAATTTTATTACCCACCTCAATTGCAATCTGCATTCTACATATTATGCTAATGTTCTTTAGGTTTTTATTCTACCTTGCTTTTTCTGAGCAAAGGTTCTACTACCAATCCTACACACATAATACGCTCGTAATAACTCTGTGGTGTAGGCTTGGTCTTAGCAATGCCTGGCATAAGATCACCTATTGTATTGAATTATGGTTCAATGATACAATTCTAGGTTTTTTCTGCTGTGACACAAATTGCTACTACACTGCCCCTTGCTAGTTCACTGTTTCTTGACTATCAGCTGGGCATTACACTAGTCTCTACACCAGGCGTCCTCAAACTTTTTAAACAGAGGGCCAGGTTACAGTCCCTCAAACTGTTGGAGAGCCAGATTATAATTTGGAAAAAAAACACATGAATGAATTCCTATGCACACTGCACATATCTTATTCGTAGTGTGAAAACACTTAGAAACAATACAATAATTAAAATGAAGAACAATTTTAACAAATATAAGCTTATTAGTATTTCATTGGGAAGTGTGGGCCTGCTTTTGGCTGAAGAGATAGGGTTGTTGTTGTTGTTGTTGTTGTTGTGTGCTTTCAAGTCATTTCAGACTTAAGTTGATCCTGAGCGAGGGCTGGGTAAATGACCTTGGAGGGCCGTATCCGGCCCTTGGGTCGTAGTTTGAAGACCTCTGCTCTACACCATTGCTGTTGTGTGCCTTCAGATCCTTTCCATTATGGTGAGACAATGGCAAAGGTATCTCGGGGCTTTCTTGGCAAACTTTATTCAGAGTGGGATTGCCTTGGCCTCCCTTTGAGGATGAGAGATCAGCGGGTTTCCACTGTTGAGCAAGGATTTGAACTCTGAAGTTGTAGTTCAATCCTCAAAGCACACACCATGCTAACCCCCTACACCAAGAGTATCAAATTCATTCCCATTGAGGGCTCTATCAACCTTATAATTGCCTTCAAAGGGTATTGAATCCATGGATGAGAATTTGTGGATACAGAGGGCCAACTATATATTTTTAAAAATAATGGTTGTTGATCTTTAGTTTTCAACCCATTTGGATGCCCAGATGTTATTGAATGACAACTCCCTTCTCTTTTTATTATCTGCCATTGGACTGGGGATAATGGGAATTGCAACCTAATATCACTTGTGGCTCTGAAGTTGGGGAAAGGTTAAAGGTCATTTTAAAGTCAGGCATCATATCTACAAGCTTTATATCTAAATTCAAATCCACTATCCTGACTGAACAGAACAAACTGGAGCCTTCCAGATGATACTGTATCACAATTCACATCAGCTTTAGTCATGATGTGCAATGATGAGGAATACAGGAGTTGTAGTCCAGCATCTGGAGGGCCATATAAAATGACATTGAGGGATGGATTCAGCCCACGAGCCTTTAGTTTGACACATGTGCTCTACACAATATATATAATAAATATACAGATATGATTCAACACATCTGCTTGTATGTTTGAAATTCCCTTGGAAGCATGACTATAAGGATTGGCAAAGTATTTTACAAGGTCACTGCTGAATATATGTGTGGATGAAAATGAATTATGGGAAACAGAGAATATCCTAGACCTTTTCACTTTTTTACTGTCTTTTTGAAGGTCAGTCCAGTAGCCTGCTGTGGGTTATCCCATTGTTGAATTATGATACACTGGTTTGTATTGGATTGCTACTCTTAATTGAATACATTGCTGAATACTGCATCAACAAAAATAAATTCCATTGATTCAATGAGTTTATTCTAGTTAAGAGTATTCTATAGGATTCTGATTACTGTTCTCAGTATATCTGAAGTTTAGCTTGTGAGTTTAATTTCTTAGTAAACGTAAGGGTTTCCCCTTGACATTAATTCTAGTTGTGTCCGACTCTGGGAGATGATGCTCACCTCCATTTTTAAGCTGAAGAACGTTGTCTGTAGACACCTTCAAAGTCATGTGGCCAGTATGACTGCATGGAGTGCCATTACCTTCGTGCCTATTGATCTACTCACATTTGCATGTTTTCGAACTGCTAGGCTGGCAGAAGCTGGGGCTAACAGTGGGAGCTCACCCTGCTCCCCACAAGTTCAGCAGCTCAGCGGTTTAACCCACTGTGCCACCAGGAGCTCCATATAGTACCATGCATGCACAATAGAGAGGTATTAGTAGGATTGGGGTGGGGATTTAGGAGCATACAATCCTAAATGGGGAATTGCCTGAAATGATCAATTGAGAAATGAATGTATTCCACTAAGATGGAATTCTGGCTGTTAGGTGGTTGCTGAAGTGCCTTCAGAGTAAATTCTTGTCAAGTCAAAATCAATTACTTTTTATGATTGACTAGCCGTCCCCTGCCATGCATTGCTGTGGCCCAGTCTAGTGATCTGGAAAATAAAGTACTGAGAAAATTTTGGTTTCTAATATATATAATTTCTTTATGCTTGTGGATAAACAGTATTTCTTGATGTTTCTTTGTCATTGTTGACGTGGAGATTGTTTGCCTACTGTGGAACATGCAACATATAATTGTCCTTTTTTGGGAGTCCCTTTCAAATCTATGATACTGTATCTGTGTGTGTGTGTGTGAATCATATCTATCTATATGGCTGGATGGCTCTTTGTCAGGAGAGCTTGATTACTTTTTCTTGCCCTGGTGAAGGGAGTTGGACTGGATGGCCTTAAGTATTTTCTGTTGGTCATCGAGGTACTGTGTGGAAAGTCTGCCCCAATTCTATTCCTTGTGGGGTTCAGAACACTCTTTGATTGTAGGTGAACTATAAATCTCAGCAACTACAACTCCCAAATGTCAAGGTCTATTTTCCCCAAACTCCATCTGTGTTCATATTTGGGCATATGGAATATTTGTGCCAAGTTTGGTCCAGACCCATCATTGTTTGAGTTGAAAGTGCTCTCTGGATGTAGGTGAACTACAACTCCCAAACTCAAGGTCAATGCCCACCAAACCTTTCTAGTGTTTTCTGTTGGTCATGGAAGTCCTGTATGCCACGTTTGGTTCAATTGCATCATTGGTTGAGTTCACAATGCTATTTGATTGTAGGTGGACTATAAATCCCAGCAACTACAACTCCCAAATGACAAAACCAATTTTCTTTGAGCGATGGTCACTCCTTGGGTTAGTAGGTGCCTTGTGTCCAAATTTGGTGTCAATTCGCCCAGTGGTTTTTGAGTTATGTTAATCCCACAAACTAACATTACATTTTTATAGATTGGAATAGTCATTCACCAGTTTCTGTGACTTCATTAGGTCATTGCAAAGTAACTGTTGGCTGATTCAAAGCTCAAGATAGGGAGAGAGAGAAAAGTCAATTGAAATATTGAAGACATAGGGAAAATTTGAAAACAGTCTTGGAATGTATTCAGAACAATCTTAGTTCTGTTTGCTATTTTAACATACATTCACAGAGTGGTTTGTCTTTGCATTTAAGGGCCTCCAATACTTTCCTCACCACCACTTTCTTTCAGGGGGTAGGGGGTGGGGGAGAGCCGTGTTTCACAATTCATCATTTTTAAAAAATACGTTAAATTGATGCCAGAGCTTTGACTGGCAAAATTTCATTTCC